CTCAGAATATCATTGAAAGCCAAGGAGCAGTGGATAGCCTTTTCTCTCTGAGTAAAGACCCCTCAGTGGTAGGTATCCATGAAACAGCCAAAAATCAAATCCAAGAGCTACAAGTTAACAGGTGTGCACCTACTGTAAAAGAGCCTCACGGTAAAGAAAAACAGCCATCAGTGACTGTTTAGTTTCAAAAGGTTCTCTAGTTGACATCGATTCACAAAAACAGGTAATCAAAGAATGTTTTTCTCTTAGCTGTTCTTCAAAGTTATATAGTAATGTAGCTCATTGAAAGGTCATGGAAATGCCCCTAAAGGTCACATGTTAATATCGGTAGGTAAAATATATATATATAAATAAGTTATATACAAGGAAAAATAAAGAATAAATTACAAAACATATTTAAGTAGAATTCCATAATCTCAACATACTGGATGATGAATACCAATGACAAATGATTAGCATTAAACCTACATATTTTTGGAAACAGAAGAGTGTTCATAATAGTAAAAGATTCAGAATATATGTATAGTTTACTTTAAAGTAATGCGTTTAGTAGGAAAGAAGGAAAACACGAGTGGATTTGAAATATTACAATCCAAATGATCGAACAAGTCAAGAGAAATTTAAAGGCACCGCAGTAAAATGGATTGTACAAACTGCTTCTACACGCACACTTCAGCGTTTTCGATGTGTACAGCGGGAGTTTCTGCTGTGTACAGACGATGTGGCTGGAAACCCTCCACCTTAATTGGTCTTACATTTCATCTGATGCGGAATAATATGTAGGAACAAGATTTCCAGGAACTGAGCAGTTGGTTCATCTAATTTCTACCTTCAACAATCATATTGATGGAGGTGGAGGGGAGGCAACTGTCCTTGTGCATGTCTTGACAATAACCTAATGTTATGACATGCTTGCCTAACTCCATGGAAGCACGTTTATTCAGTACTTCCAAATATATTGTGACAAGCATTCTAAAAACAGATTTACTGTTTTTCTGATATCATGGATAGAGTAACTCCCTTTTAGAAACTCTCATTTTTATGATTTCTTACAATTTGATCAATCACTCTGAACAACTGTCTTGCAATATATGCATAGGTAGGTTCTCCGGAAAACCCAGGTATAACTGCTTTTGGAATTTAGTTCAGATCATATTTGGTTAGGTATTATGCAAAGCAGGAATTTAGCTTGTGATGAGAACCATCTTCACAGGCGATTAAGTTAGCAGGTACTTGATTTGTTCTGCATAACCTGTTGTAGTACTATTCACCTCCTGTGGTCAACCATAACATACTGATAAAATAGTTTATCAACCGTCAGTTAAATATTCTAGATAAGATTCACATTCCTTCAGAGTATAAACAGAATTATGCAAAGTAATTTAGACCTAATATTGTTTATCTTCTTGACAAATAAAGATTGTAGCAATGAAAATAATCTATACGGAAGTATATCTTTTCTGTAATATATTGATTACAATATGCATCAATTAAGGTTGTGTAGTGCAATAGGTTTTGTGTTATGCCGTGTTGTATTCATGAGAATATATGTGTGTGAATACAACTATGTTAACTATTATTTATGCATTGTATCCACCACTGTCATCAGTTGCATACGTGTTGAATAACAACACACTGAATACCACTCACTGTCTGTACCTTTGTCTGTTTATTTTGGAATTTCCGAAACTATGTGCACTTATTCTTCTTCTGTCTTCCTTCTGAAATCTGGTTGATTAATCCATGTTTCTTCAATAAAAATTACTTTTGTCCTGTTGACAAATCAGCTAATCCTCAATTATTCTCATTTTGGGAATCTCATTTTCTTGGTATAAATCTAATTTTCTCTATCGCACTTCAGAGTGTTTGTTGCGTTTCGTGAAAGGTTTCCATGGTGTTGTCATATTAGAATGTCCCTTCACTCTGAAAGTTTATTGACTTGATTATAAACTCTGCAGATAAAGATAAATCGAAGGTGTAGTTCGTTTTTGTATTATGCTTTGAACTATCCTGAAGGAAACTGGCCACGACTGTTCATTTCCCTGAAGGATAACCATCTCATAATGCGTAAAATACTTCCCAAATAATAGAGATAACAATGATTTAACTGAAATATTTGTGGATAAGTAGTTAACAGGTTTCTGTGTGGTTCTCGTCACATTTGGAAATGAAATGAAAATACAGTTTCATTTGTGCTTGCATATACTGACATGAAATTTTTATTTGAAATAGTTGAACTTCTTGAAAACCTTCAAACTGAGGGATCTATTCAATGATACATAAGTCACTGACTTTGAGACAGACTTAACAAGTTTCTAATAAGATGTGACCGGTTGGGTAAGTATTAATTACCTAATTGTCACAGTGATTATCAGAAAGCTGACTGCCTCACAATTACCACTCATAAAGGTGTTGTTATTCAGCATCGCTGAATAATCTGAAGGCTAAACAGTTTCGATGGCACTTAACTTACAAATATAGCATATTTTCTAATTAAGATTATGAAATATTCCCGAAAATTAGACCAGGGTTTTTCAGATTTGATCAAAGAACTCATTTTATTCAGCTATTTTAAGTTACTTCAAATACATCATAATCCACGAAAAGCCAAATTTGATGAGATGAATCGAGAATGCAAATCACTGGACGCATTATGTAGGTTGACATAGAAAATTTAGAAGTTCCATATCTAGTCATCAAAATTATATGAATCCTCACTGATCTGAATTTATATGGTAACGGACTTTATATTTGTCTTTAGCATAATAAGTTATACTTTCGTACAGAGTTTATGTCATAGAATTCAATTACCTCAAGTAGACAGATTACCTTGATAAAAGTTACTGTTCAGTGTTCTCACACATTTAACATATGATTATGGATGCTTGATAACATCTTCAGCACTTTTTCATGAAGTTAGTGCTTGAGTTTTCACTACATCTAATGGTAAAGAGGCCATGATAATAAATCAAAGCTGAATGAACATCAAATAACCTTCACCTCCCCCCTCCCCGGCAGCAGATAAGAAACCTGCCCTCCGATTTTCGATTCACTTCAGTTAAAGGCTGTCAACGCTTATTTGACATATTGCTTACCCATATTGCGTTAGTCTATATGATTCACAGAATACTGACATAGTACTTTTAAATGGACATCGTTCCAAAAATAAACAGTTACTCGTCAATAACAGTTTCATCGTTTCTTGATCTCTGATTTCAAGAGTGCTAGTATTCTCCTTCATCCATAGTCTTTATTGATTACTTCTCTTGTATTAATACCAGATGGTTTGAAACAATCGACAAGAAGCCATAGACTCAGGTTAAATGCTTGCTGGTACCAGTTAGAAAAGCATGTGACCAACCTTGAAGAAACTTGTTCCGTTAAAGCAGTACTACAGTCAGAGATGCTACCAATGAGCTATCTAGGCTTCTCTAGACAAGTGCAAGGTATTGAAGTCTATGATCAAGCAGTCATTGAATAACCTCTAAGCGTCTGTGTAACTAACTTTCTTGGTTTAAGGAACATTCCTTATATTCCAGTGTATTGTTTGTCTAGAAAGAAACTAAATTTTGCACCACAATTTCATTAGAACTCTTCTTCTAAATACTGTTTATATTAGAGTGTGTACAGAAAGAGATATAAACTCATAACAAACAAGCCAAAAGTAACAAAATATTTCACTTAAAGTAAAAAAAGTATAAGGAATGAAAGGGATGCAAGAATCTCGCAGCTGTTGTACTCTAGGTACACATGTCAGCCACCACAATTAGTTCAAAATGTGGTAAAATGTGAGAATTCTTCTTCACATTCTTTGGTAATATGATTGTACAGTTAGCCTGCATTGAGAATTTGAATAATGGAATCAGTCCGTAATCAACTCGTAAAAACATAACTAATCCTTACAAACCAAACTATAGAAAATTAATCTGATGCTCGCTAGTGACTTGCTACAGGATGGAGTTTCCTGGAGTTCTAGTGAGAAGTCGTGACCAGTGAGGTCCAATTAGATGTCACGTGTGTGGATGGATGTCCCACCAACGACAATGGTTGGGGTCGCGCTAAATCACGAATTGTTAAAAGTTAGAATTCATGAGCCATTGAATCGGGTCCCGGTGGCTGAATAGTATTTGAGCTTGCCTTGTAACCGGAAGGTCCTGGGTTTGAATTCCAGTGGGTGCGTACTGCGATGATTCCCAAACTAGGATGAAACAGCAGCTGTCCAGTACTCCCTGGTTTTCAATGGTTCCCTAGCTGATATCAGTCCATGATCAACTCGTAAAACTCAATCAATGCCAAAAAAGGATCTAGAAACACGATATAGTTATACCCTGGTGACCAGTCAATTTATGATAGCATTAATGTCATTTGGTCCATAGCAGCTAGCAGAGAAGTACAGGACATGTGTTTTGATTTATCGAGGACGAGAGAAATTCAAAGTAAGAAGTAGTAACTAGAGGGATTCACCAAGTCTGGTAAGATAACAGTTATTCGCCTATAACATTGGTTGGTGGCTGCGCTACATATATCGCCAGCTCGCAGAGGCTGGAATTCACAGGTAACTGGATAAGGTCCCGGTGACTGGATGGTATACAAGCTCACCTTATGCGTCAGCGATGGTTATGAATCCCAAATAAGGATGAAACAGCTCTCCATTACTCCAGCGTATTCCATGGGTTCTCTAACTGATGTCATCTCGTCATCATACCTGTAACCAATCAAATCCCTGCAAAATCAACACTTAATAAATTCAAAGTATTTTGTGCGTCGGTGGCACAGCGGTTAAGACTCGCCGACCATGCACAACGGTTCGATCCCCTGCCGGCGCACACCCGATATCAATGATCGGCCTGCAAAATTTGGGCTACTGACATCACATGCTGAAAATTCCATACTTGTACCAAAAATACTGTGTAGTTTCAAGCTATAATCAAAAAAAAATAAATAAATAGCAGTGTTGATGGCTTCCAGACTTTAATACTCCTTTTTTTATTATATTTCAGGTTATTCTAACTGTACGTGATCCTGAAGTATGGTTTGCTGCTTGTCGAGCCACTCTTATTCCCTACCGGCCAAAACAATCAATACTCCGACAAACACTCTACAAATTACCCATGTTCTCTTGGTTATCTCACCTTGATTATTTAAAGGTGTTATCATTACAGAACACATTGGGTAGGAAGACTAATTTAAAAAGTGACAATGAACTACTGAGTGCTTACAGTCGATGGAATGAACATGTTCAATCGATTGTGCCTAAAGAGCGTTTATTAGTGTACAATATTAAACAAGGTTGGCTGCCTTTATGTAATTTTCTCGGTAAACCTATACCGTCTACTGCATTCCCCGGTAGAAATTCATTAATAATATGCAAAAGTTTATTACGTCATACCCAAAGAATATTTCATGTATTACTTTATATTTTCATTTATTGTGTTATTATTCTACATTTCATTAATTTTTTTAGATAAACATTATTTTTTTTTTAAAAAAAAAACAATTTTACGCTATATCTTTCATTGTATACTTTGATTTACTTTGCACAAAACGAAAGACAAAATGTATTTTCTGTACAAAGAAACAAACAAATAAAAAGTAACTATGATCACTATTAAACCTTGAACATATATTTTTAATTATTCTGCTGTTTGTTTTGTGAAATGCTAAGAATTATTTCATTATTTATTTTGAAAATATACTCATCACCGTGATTACGTTTGAATTAGTATTAATACTATTATAAGCATTGTTGATGTTGTTGTCTTTCTAATAGAGATTTTGAGTTGGAAAGTGCTCAATACACGTAGGCAGTTACTTCGAATCAGTGATTTTTTATCCAGGATGGCATACATTTGAGCTGAACACAACTAGTCACACAATGCGCGCTAAAATTAGTTGTACTATTTCGCCATCATTAAGAGAAAGTTGTCCCTGTCCCTAAACCTGGAAACAGCAAAAACGTAAAGTTCAGACCCATTGCCATCACTTCCCCGTTTCTAAAGCTTATGGAAAAACTAGTACTTCTTGAACTTGAACCCTCCCTTAAAAAATTTGAAAACCCCAAACAATTTGCCTATAGACGGGGTAGGAGCACTTTAGACGCGGCAGCCGTCTTACACAACAACATCGTCTCATCATTAGATAAAGGTGCCAAATACGTCCGCTGCACGTTTCTTGACTTCACTTCCGCTTTTGACTCTGTACCTAGATGTCTCCTGCTAAATAAGCTCTCTTTGACAAAAACTGAGTCCTGGGTCACTAACTGGTTGCATTCCTACTTTTCTAACAGAATGCAGTACACCGTATACAAAGGTAAATCCTCGTCTGCTGTGCTCACTGTAGCTGGTGTCTCCCAAGGTGCTATACTCTCCCCACTTCTCTTTTCTTTCTTTCTACATGACTTACCATCTTCAAATGACATTAATTTTGTCAAATATGCCGACGACCTGACTGTATCTTTGCCTATCTAATGTCAAAGTGACTGCTCTAAACTTAATGGCTTTCTATCAGAAATCAGCCAGTGGTCCAAGGAAAACGGTCTTACCCTAAACCCCTCCAAATGCCAAACAGTCAATTTCACTTTTAGGCATAAAACCGACCTAAAAAAACTGGTTGGCTCTCACGAGGTATGCAACATAGACGGCACTGAAATAGAAACCAAATCGGAAATCAAATACCTAGGCGTCATTCTATCTGCTGATCTCTCCTGGTCGTCTCATATCTTAGCGATTTCTAAGAAAATATTCCGTCTTACCTTCCATATCAAGAAGTTAAAATATTCTGGTATAAACCAACCCTTACTCCTACAATTCGTTAACCCTCGCATTCTGCCTATTATTCTCTATTGTTCCCCCTTAGTCTTTCCAGGGCTACTGAAGAAAGACTATAACATATTACGCAGGATGTTAAATGTTGTCAGCAGGGTAAGCAAAGTGCCACTTAACCAGCTTGTTAATATTCTGGTCGACAGGCACATGGACTCATGTGATTAATGGGCCAAATCCATTTTATCTAACTCACACCACCCTCTTCACTCACAACTCTCCCCTTGCATCTCATCAGGTAAAACTAGAAGCCTATATAGAAAACTATATGCTCGCACCAGCAAGTACAAAAATTCAACCATACTCTACTTAGCTCGTGTTCTGTGTGATAAAGAAAGCATTAGGCGTGACACCTATAATTTATTAAATAGTCAGTAGTACAACTGGATCTCGTCTTTCCAACCCACATCATGAATAGGTACAACATTTTCTTTCTTTCTTCTCCTTTTCTCTCTCTTCTTTTTCCGTTATGTGCTGCTTTGTCACTTTCTCTCGCTTACGCCAGTTAATAAGACAGCTCCCACTTTTCTAACACCTTCAAACACTGTTTCAGCCTTACCTTTGCTACCAACATTCCAATATGTTGTTGTCATAATGAACTGAGATTTCCTTAATCTTTGTAGAATTCTATTTATTGATAATGTAGTCAGTATTATGTCTAGTACATAGTGGTGCTGACTGAATCAGATTGGTCTGACATATAAGATCATCAACAAGCTAGGTGACTCAACAATGCAGGGCAGTTCGAACTAACTTGACTGAGAGAATTTAAGTTTGACTATAAAATAACATCTGTTACAGAGGCATTAGAAAACCAGGATGTGCTGGACAGCTGTTTCGTCGTTGTTTGGGACTTTGCAGCTGTACACATCCACTGAGACACGAATCCAGGACCTTCTGGTTACAAGGCTAGCTTGGGGACCATTCAGCCACTGGGACCCGGTCTAGGACGAAACACCTTGCCAGTACACCCTGAGGTCAAGTTAAACTGTCCTAGCCAAAATTGCAGTGATTATAAACAACCAATCGTAATTCAAATGTAAATCTGATTAGTTCTTGGGCGTCAACTTTTGACAGACGTTGACTTGAGCTATAATAGTTAAAATTCACCCTCCCTGGTTTCACAATGATTCCCTAAATTATATCAGCCCATGATCAAACCTGTAAATAGCCGCATCCCTGCAAACCAACACTTGATAGAATTCAGTCTGTACAACCAAGAATTTGACATGAGGTATCCATTGCTTCTTAGGGACCATTCAGTGTGTTCATTACAGTCCTACAGGAAGTCAATGACAGCCTAAGTATCTCAGTGGCAAAGAATCTAGCAGCAGCAAGAAGTGATATGGATTTTAATCTCAGAACTGATATCACTTCCTTCAAGACTAAAGATACGCTAATAAGCACAATACCAATGTTCTGAGCTTCCTTCGGATTGCTTACAACGGTCTGATATATTTTTCATTTTATTCAGTGCCGTTTATTGCATTCCAACTATTCTGTGATTATAGATAGACGTGACGAACCAATGAAAATTTTTTTTGATAATTTTCTATATCTTCATGAAGTATTGAATTACATTGAAGTCATTTTATAAAAGATTACAACGAATGTCACACATTCGCTCACTTATGGGAACGATGTATAGAACACCTCATAATTCACAGTCTATTTGTGAAAGGATAATTAAAAAGGAACTCTAGAAAAGATCAGCCAAGAATCTATCACCCAACAAATGTGAAGAAAGTAATAGCGATGGATTAGACATTCACTGAAGAGATTGTTAAGCTGCATCATGCTTCAGGTCCTCTAGTGGAATCCGAATGATAAGTGACGGGTTGGATTTCTGAAGATGCCACGAAGGATATCGTGTGTGGAGGAAAATAAAGCTTATAAGCAATTGTGGAGTCAACTAAAGAGGACTGCTAAAATGGAGGTGTTCTGCTGAAGCCTTGTGTTGCACTCAGAACCCAAGAAAAAAACAATACTGATGTGGAAAACTTTCACAGACTACAGATATGCCCCATAATGCCCCCGCATGGCGGAGCATTATTCACTGGTTTTTAATTTATTTTGAACAAAACAATAACAACATATGAATCCAGTTTGTTTTGTCGCTGTTTCTTTATTTTTACCTATAACTCGGGTGGCGAATGCAAATAGTTTATCTGCAACCTTAACTCAGTTTATTTACAGGATTGATCATGTGTTGACATTAGTTAGAGAACCATTAGAAAACCTGGGTGTACTGGACAGCCGTTTCGTCCCATTTTGTGACTCTTCAGTTACACGCACCCTTGTGGGCAATCCTATAACCAATCATAGCCTTCCAAACCAACACTTGACAATTTATTTAGTCAGCTGGATAAACAGAATGTTGAACATTTTTACTCAACAAGGATCATGGTAAATATACAGATGGGTCAAAGAGTGATTAATTGCTTTACCTACATATGTACTTTAAAACAAGCAACAAAGATTAATAAAGCAGGATTTAAGGAATTCATCAAATTTTGATAGAACTCGTCAGCTGAATACTCTACATACAGGGATATGTATACAATTGAAATTACTTTGGGAGATATAAGACTGATAAGCAAATAAACTACATTGAATTAGTCATGCAGAAAGGCAGGTGCGAATGTTCACCAGGTCATGTTCAAATAGATGAGGAGAGAGGGAGTATGAGAGATTGAAATTAAGATAAAATGGACTACACCCCAATTACATCACTTAGATAAACAATTAGTCATTAGAGAATATATCAAGAATTGAAAACACAGTAATATCAATAGTAATAGTTATAATAATAATGTTGATGTGAGTTAAGATAATGCTACTGATAAAAGGTAGTTTTGAATGAATCAAGAATAATAATAATAATAGGAGGTAAAATAATAAGTAAACCGTATTACCATGGTAGATTCAGAGTGACGACCATCTCCTTTCGTAAACATAGACCTAGTTTATAAACTAGGATTGCACAAGCCTCTGCAATTGCAAGCATCTTCCTGTTTCTTTGTCCGCTGACAATAGCAGTGAATAAATTGACGGCGTCGACATCATCTCCATAATCCACAAGATGTTTTGTTATTGAGATTTTTGGCACTTTGCATTCAGCTTTTTTCAACCATTTCGTATCGGGAAATAAATGTTTTCAATTCTCAAAGAAGTCCCTTCCATAAAGAATATTTGTAATGCCTGTTTCCTCTGAATAAGAACCAGGATAATAAGAAGATATTAAGGGGAAAATTTCATAAGATTATTTAGGTATTTTGTGCTGCTGAAGCCTGATGTTCCACTCGAAACCCAAGGAGTAAAATAATAATAATAGTAGCAATAATGTAAGGCACTACAAGTAATCAACAAACAAAGAAGATCAGTGAGTTAAGCTCATTCAATTATACATAAAAACATCTAAAATAGGACTTGACAAATAATAATGTAACTAAGCAAGGGTAAAAAGAAATCAGCATTAGCATTCAATGCAAGATCATAAAATCAGTTGTAGGTCAAGTTAAATGAAAAATGATAGACACTTAATATGATCGTGTCATATGATCTGAACGAATAACAACCATATGTAGGTCAGCTTTGATAATGTTTTGAAATGATTTATAATGGAAGGACAGCAGTAGAGTATATGCAAGCTTCAAGGTACTAGTTAACTGTGATTATTATCATTCATTTCTTGCTTTCCGAGTGTAGTATGGTGTTTCACAAGCACATCCTCATTTCTGTGACATCACTCACAACTGGCACCACAATTACCAGCAACCCTTTACTTTGTTTGCACATCTTTACGTAATTCTCAGATCTAAATCCAATTCATCACTCCAAATTCTGATTCCAATCGAGAACATGGAGTGTAATGTCACTTGAAGGT